GCCCGTCCGGGGGGTGATGCTAGCGAGGGCGGAGGGGGCCCGGCCGGCCTCTTCTCTGGCGTCGGGCCGGGTCGGGGCGCTTGACCCCACCGCGGGACGTCTGCGGGCCAGACCCAGCCTCTCCTGGAACACCCAGTCTGATATCCCCTCCTCTTAGGGGGGCTTCGCCCGCTGCTACGAGGTCACTGACACAGAGACTGGCAGCGCCTACGCTGTCAAAGTCATCCCGCAGAGCCGCGTCGCCAAGCCGCATCAGCGCGAGAAGGTGGGTCCGGGCTCAGCGGACGATGGGTGGGGTGGGGACGGTGGCACGGGAACCCTGGAAGGATGACAACCCCGCGTCCTCATCGCAGATCTTAAATGAGATTGAGCTGCATGGAGACCTGCAGCACCGCCACATCGTGCGTTTTTCGCACCACTTTGAGGACTCTGACAATATATACATTTTCCTGGAGCTCTGCAGCCGAAAGGTGAGGGATGGTGATTCGGTTGGGGATGGGGGTGGGGGAGAGAAGGGGTTCCTGAGACCCAAAGCTGCGGCCCTGTTTCTACTTCAGTGGGCACAGTGGGAGGGGAGGGTCAGGGAGGGCGTACTGGGCACTAAGACAGTGACTTTCTGCAGTCCCTGGCCCATATCTGGAAGGCCCGGCACACTCTCTTGGAACCAGAGGTGCGCTACTACCTGCGGCAGATCCTTTCAGGCCTCAAGTACTTGCACCAACGGGGCATCTTGCACCGGGACCTCAAGCTCGGTGAGACTCCTGGGTCAACAGGATGAGGGTTGGGAAGGGAGGGAAAGGAATCTGACATATCTCCCTGTCTCCATCTAGGAAATTTTTTCATCACTGAGAACATGGAACTGAAGGTGGGGGATTTTGGACTGGCAGCCCGGTTGGAGCCCCCAGAGCAGAGGAAGAAGTGAGTGTTTGAAGATAAGGGTGGCCACAATCTGTGTGCTACAGATGTAACGTTCATGACAGACAGTGAGTATGTATGTGGGAAGCAAGGTGACCGCCTGATGTGTGCATGCGATAAATTGGGAAGGGGTGACCAGCTGTTCTGTATATGTGGAGGTGGCAGCCTAGGTTACTGGAGAGGGCGAAGATTCCATAGGTGTATGACAGATGGGGTTGGTGCCCCTGAGTCCCTGAGACAGATGGGGGTATAAGGATTGTTGGAAGTGGATGACTGACCCTGTGTGTGGTTGGGGGAAGGTGACGCAGGCAGTGTGTATGTGTGTGTGAGACAGGCTGCGTGTGGGAAGATGGGACATGACACTCTGTGTGGCCACTGTACTGGGTGTGTGTGACAAAGATAGCGTGTGTGGCACATGAGTGTCTACGGGGATGTGACAGGTGGTGGTGGTGTGTGTGCGTAGACTATGGGAGATGACAGCCTGATGCGTGTCTGACTGACGGGAATGCAGGAAGGGGGAAGGGATCAGCGATGACCTCTGTGTTGACCCTGGAGGAGGGGCTGGGCTGGGGGTCAGGGCCTCCCCCTGTCCTGAAGAGCAGCTGAGCAGCTGAGCCAGGCGGGTGGGTAGAGACTCAGCTGCCATCCCTGGCATCCATTGTCCCAGGACAAGCAGGAGCTCTCTGGCCTTTGGTGACAGGCAGCTGCTTTGTCTGTACTCATAGCGGGGGAGGGGATGGGAAGGCCTGCTGGGCTGGGTCTGAGCCTTCCCCTCTCCTCCTTCCTACCCCCTTTCAGGACCATCTGTGGCACCCCCAACTATGTGGCTCCAGAAGTGCTGCTGAGACAGGGCCATGGCCCTGAGGCAGACGTGTGGTCTCTGGGCTGTGTCATGTGAGTCCCAATATCCAGGATCAGCGGCAGTCAGGTGGTGGGTGTGTAGGTGGAACATACCCTTCACTGTACTCCCTTATCCCTGCCCCACAGGTACACGCTGCTCTGTGGGAGCCCCCCCTTTGAGACGGCTGACCTGAAGGAGACATACCGCTGCATCAAGCAGGTGCACTACACGCTGCCCGCCAGCCTCTCACTGCCTGCCCGGCAGCTCCTGGCTGCCATCCTTCGGGCCTCACCCCGAGACCGCCCCTCTATTGACCAGATCCTACGCCATGACTTCTTTACCAAGGTTTGTGGCTCTCCAGACACCTAAACCTAAGTCTAGTCTGCATATTCCACCACCACCTGTCATATCCCCTGTAAACACTCATGTGCCACACATGCTATCTGTGTCACACACACCCAGTACAGTGGCCACGCAGAGTGTCATGTCCCACCTTCCCACACTCAGCCTGTCTCACACACACATACACACTGCCTGCGTCACCTTTGAGTGGGAACAGGTGACAGGACCCCTGAGGTCTCTCTTCTCTGTTCACATGGCTTCCCTCCCCAGGGCTACACCCCTGATCGACTCCCTGTCAGCAGCTGCGTGACAGTCCCAGATCTGACACCTCCCAACCCAGCTAGGAGTCTGTTTGCCAAAGTCACCAAGAGCCTCTTTGGCAGAAAGAAGAACAAGAGTGAGTCTGGGGTACAGAGCAGCAGAGTGGCTTGTTACATACATTTTGGGCGTGTGAGAGTGTGGGTGCCTGTGAACTCCTGGCAAGAACGTGTATTCTATAGGCACTTGGGAGGCTTATCTCTGTGTCACCCCTATGGGAAGCAAGGGAGGCTCGGGAGGGTGCTGAGGGTTGTGTCACCTCTCACCCCCAGGTAAGAACCATTCCGGGGGACGGGAAGATGTCTCCTGTTTGGTGAGCAGCCTCATGCGTACGTCCATTGGTCATCAGGATGCCAGGCCTGAGGTGAGATACTCACGTGGCACTGTTCCCCTGACTCACCCCCACCCTAGCAGCTGAGGGAAGCCTGGGATGAAAGAGACTGATGAAGCATCAGCCTCGTGGTGGCCTAATTGGCTGTGTCTCATTAGCCAGGCAGGGATGACCTGGGGTGCCCGGGGTGCCAGGACAGGGCTGGGCCATGGATTTGGAGGCCTAGCTCATTCCCTTTCCCTACCCAATCCTCCAGGCTCCAGCAGCTTCTGGTCCAGCCCCTGTCAGCCTGGTAGAGACAGCGCCTGAAGACAGCTCACCTCGTGGGACACTAGCAAGCAGTGGAGATGGTGAGGAGGCAGGGAGGGTGAACAGTGCTAGAGGTTACTGGGGCTGAGACCAGGGACCAGAGGGAAGGAGTGGGCTCAGGGACCTGGCCTGGGTCCTGGGGAGCTAATGCTTAAATCTGTGTCCTGTTCCCTGCAGGGTTTGAGGAAGGTCTGACTGTGGCCACAGTGGTAGAGTCAGCCCTCTGTGCTCTGAGAAACTGCGTGGCCTTCATGCCCCCAGGTAAGGCTGGGGTCTGGTACGTGTAGATGTGGTGGGAGTTCTGTGGCTGAGAGGCCAGTAGCAGGTCCTCACTCTCTCTTCTCCTATGACAGCGGAACAGAACCCAGCCCCCCTGGCCCAGCCAGAACCTCTGGTGTGGGTCAGCAAGTGGGTTGACTACTCCAACAAGTTTGGCTTTGGGTATCAACTCTCCAGCCGCCGAGTGGCCGTGCTTTTCAACGATGGCACACATATGGCCCTGTCAGCCAATAGAAAGTAAGTGCTGTTATGGGATGCCTTGTATTCAGGCTACTGTGCCAGCAGGGCTGCACCTTGGTGTGTGCCCCTGGGCTCGGGGGCCTGGGGCTTCTTGGGAGCGGCGTTGGTGCAGGGATCCCTCTGACCTCCGCCTCCTCACTTCCAGGACTGTGCACTACAACCCCACCAGCACAAAGCACTTCTCCTTCTCTGTGCGTGCTGTGCCCCGGGCCCTGCAGCCTCAGCTGGGTATCCTGCGGTACTTTGCCTCCTACATGGAGCAGCACCTCATGAAGGTGTGTGGCTGGGGTGGGCCACATGAGGACTAACATCCTGATCCCTTACGATTCTTTGGTGGTAGGGGGGCTCAAAGCTAGAGGTGAAGGGAGACATCCATAGGGAAGGGGCCTGACCCATGTCGGACCTTTGACCTGCCCCGCCCCTGCTCCCAGGGTGGAGATCTGCCCAGTGTGGAAGAGGTGGAGGTGCCTGCCCCGCCCTTGCTGCTACAGTGGGTCAAGACGGATCAAGCCCTACTCATGCTGTTTAGTGATGGCACTGTCCAGGTAAGAGTCTCTCCAGGGGTTGGTGGGGAAGGTCACCCACGTGCTGGGGAGGAAACTGGGCCTGGGGACTAGGCCCTGATCACCGTTACCCTCCTGTGCACAGGTGAACTTCTACGGGGACCACACCAAGCTGATCCTCAGTGGCTGGGAACCACTCCTTGTGACTTTTGTGGCCCGAAGCCGCAGTGCTTGTACTTACCTCGCTTCCCACCTCCGGCAGCTGGGCTGCTCCCCAGACCTGCGGCAGCGACTCCGCTATGCTCTGCGCTTGCTCCGGGACCACAGCCCAACCTAGGCCCCAAACTGCGGGGTGGCCTTGACCTAAGCCTTCAGGTCTGAGGCCTTCCTGTAAGGCTTTGGCCCTTGCCTTTGTGGCCCTTCCCGTCCCTTTGGTGCCTCACGGGGCTTTGGGCCGAATCCCCCAGGGAATCAGGGACCAGCTTTACTGGAGTTGGGGGCAGCCTGTCCTCACTTTCTCCTACCCCCTCTCCAAGATAAGCCTGAGCCTTAGCTCCCAGCTAGGGGGCATTATTTATGGACCACTTTTATTTATTATCAGACATTTATTTATTGGGATGTGAGCCCCAGGGGGGCCTCCTCCTGGGAAAATAAACCGTTTTGCAGAATTGGAGTTCTGTTCACTCGCAGTAGAACCCGTGGACCATGGCTACTGCGAAGAGCGAGGCGTTGGTGTAGGTGGCAGAGGCTAGCCCATCGCGTGCCTGGTCCCAGAGCGCCCGGCTGACCACATGCACGCCCTGGCCAGTGCGCGAGCCCAGCACCACGCTGCACACCAGCTTGTAGCGCGGGGGGGTGAGCTCACGCAGGCGCATGTGCACCTGCTCGCAGAGCTCCCGGGCCAGCTGCCCGGCCTCTGTGCCTGAATAGCAGATGTTGTGTAGCCCCACGGCCAGCGTAGCCTCCAGGGTGCGTTGGGCACGTGTGGCTTCCCAGCGCTGCCCCGGCGCCGGCTCTGTGTGATAGGAGGGTGCTATCCTACGCACTGGGGCCAGGGGCAACCCTGAGAAGCTGACCCGTGAGCCTAGAGGAGGCACTGGGCCCAGGGATGGTCGTCGACAACCAGGACCCATGACTGGCCCAGCCAGCGAGTTGCGGCGTGAGAAGGATGGGGCTAGGCCTAGTACGGAGTCACGGCGGGAGGCCAGGCCTGGACCTATGGGTCGGGCCTCGTCAACACTGGGTAGGCGGCCTCGTGGCCGCACTGTTAATACTTTCACTCCAGGGTCTTTGGCATTCTCCTCCTCCTGGAGTCCCGGGGGCAGAGGCCTGCTAGCCATGGATTTGCCTGCTGGAAAACCCACTCTTAGAGAGGATAGCCTTCACCGGCCATCTTTTTACCCAACCCAGTCTCTTGTTCAGTGATATCAAGGCTTTTCTTTTCCACTCCCTTCTTACCTGTGTTTTTGGAACGAGTGGATCAAATAGTCCAGGGCTGCGTGGGTTCCTAGGTCTTAGAGGGTCAAAAGCTATTAGACACACTAGCAGGGGAAGGACGCTGCTTGGTCTATGATCCTGGGCTAGTCCCTGCCCCCATGAGCTCCACTTTCCCTTGGGCACTATGGAAGTCAACTACGAGAATGTATTTCTTTCCTCCCTTCTACCTGACTTCACCAGCAGGAGGAAAATGCGCTGGCCTCTGCCTCAGCCCAGACCTCTGTCTCCAACCCCTAACCAGGAGGGACTAGCAGATCTCCCTCCTTCAACCTCACAAATCCTTCTAGCCCTGGGGATATTGAGTCCCATGGCCTTCTGCCCTAATTTGCTCTAGGGCGGCTGGCACAAAGATCCCTCCCGAGTGGCTAAAGCTGGGGCAGACCACTCGTGAGGCCCATTCTGCCTTTTGCTCCACTCATGAGGCCCATTCTGCCTTTTGCTTTTAGCCTGTGACCCCACCTCCTCCAGAATCAGTTCTCCCGAAACTCCCTCAGGCACCTGAGTCATCTGCAGCCTTCAGTCTCTGAGTTCTGGCTCCACAGCCCTTGCCCAGCTGCCCCGATTGGCAGATGGGAGGAGAAAGGCCTGTGTTGTGGAGTTGCCATGGGTTGTGTGGGCAAGCACCACACCCTTTCAGGGTCCCTCCCCCAGTCCAGCTCTGGCTTAACCTGAGAGGGTTGCTACTATGAGCATGTGCTGAGTGTGGGATGCCCCCTAGTTACTGGGGAGGAGGACAGCAGGGGCTTGAAGCTCAGGGGCATACTGCCACAGTGGGACAACAGAGGATAGAGGTAGAGAGAGGCTCCGGTCAGAAAGGCTCCCTCCTATCCTAGGGCTCTTGAGCCCATGTCCATTTCTCCCCTTGTAAAATGGCAGATGGCTGGCCATTTGTGAACAAGTCACAGAGGTTTTGGATATGGGGGAGACCTTGAGGCTGTGGGGGTGGCTGCTCAGGAATCCACCAGCCTACAGGAAGGAGCACATTAAGTCTCTATCGGTCTCCCCATCAGCCTCAACAAGGACAAACATTTCCGCTCCAGGCTCAGAGGTAGGGTGGGGCTTGGATGACATCCTCAGTTCAGGCCTGTGTGCGGGGGAGGGGAGGCCCATTGGCTCAGCTCTTAGGAGCCAGGTCTGATGCAGTGGCGGTGACTCAGTGACTTGGTGGTGAACCCCAGTCCAGTCTCCTGACCCCTGCTGACCCAAGTGCCCTGGGGCTTGTCCCCAGCTGGCCACACGTCTTGTGTGCCCTATTACCTAGATCCCCTTCCCCCTTCATGGCATTTCAGGGATGCCAGAGGGTGTGACATCTCTGTCAGAGCTGACAGCTTCTCATGTGACATTCTGCCCCGCAAGGACGGGACTGCCCCCTCCCAAACAAGCCATGTCTGAGCTCTGGAAACCATTTGCGGGGGTGAGGATTTTCCCTGTTGACTGGGGCTTTCTCAGGCCTGGCTAACCTGATCCTGACTCTGTGTGCCTGTGGGGGAAGGAAGGGCTATGAGGGCAGGGAGTCTGAACTCTAACTCAGGGTAGGCAGGGACTGGAGTGCTAGGACCCTCGGACTCCACTTAGGGCTCTCTAAGGGATGAAGTTTTCCCTGGGCCTTGGGAGATGGGCGGGGCCTCTTCTCAGGCCGGTTCCAGTCTCCATGGAAACCCACAGGCTTCCCACCCCAGCTGCCTGGGCAGGCTCCCAGCTGGGGCCTCATCCGCTGCTGCCACAGTCGCCAACACTGCCGCCAGCCGTTCTTCCCTGGACCAGACCACAGGCTTCTCCTGGCCCCTTCCTTGTGTCTCTTCCTGTCCCCGAGTCTCTGGCCTCTGATACCTTCTTCAGAAACCTGACCTCTCGTGCTCCATCCCCAAACTTTAGCTTCTAACAGGCCTCCCAAGCTTCTGCTCTTCCCACTCAGGCTTTTCTAGTTTCACCAACTCCAGGGCCTGACCAGGCCTCCCACAGACTAACAGGCTTCCTAAGCCTGGCTTTTTCCCCATCCCATGGAGACCCCAGGACTGATTGTGCACGGAGAGGCTGCACCCTTTTCCACAGCACTCAGAAGCCTCGTCAACAACTCCCGATACAGGTGAGGGGGGCCCTGCCTGTGGTTTTCCCTAGCCGGCTCTGTAGGGCCCCAGGACTCTGAGGCAGCCCTGGGTGAAAAGGAAGTGGGGAATTAGAACTTGGCCCTCCTCCCTAGTGAACTCCGAGTCTGTGGGGAAGTCAAGTGTAGAACATGGCTACCAATCAGTCAGTGTCTGAGATGCCAGAGATGGGGGCACTGGGGGGCTAGAGCCCAGAGCTGCTGTGTGAGCTCAGGCAAAGCTCTTCCTTCTCTGGATCTTGAGCTCCTGGCAGAAGAGAACGATGTTCAGCCCCCTGGATCCTGAGAGATAGAATGTAATAATACCCCCCTCCTCCCTCCAACACTCAGTTTGGTGTTGGGGCCTCCCTCCTTGAAGAAGAGGAACAAATGACCCTGTTCTGGGAGGAACAAGAGGAACAAAGCTCAAGAGATTGAGCCATAGTCCCAGACAGGAAGTAGTTCAAGGGTGCTGACTGCATCTTGCTTGCCCAGGATACTAGTTGTGTCTGAAACCAGGGATAGAGTTTACAGGAGGCAGGACTGGTCAGGAGAACTAAAATGAAGCTTTCTGACCCCACTGTCTCAGATCTGGGCTCCTCCCCAAAGGTCGGTTCCTTCCATAACTCTGCTTCTTTGAGGGTCACAGTCTGGCCTGAGTAGTGTGAACCCTAGGCTTTGGACCGAGCACTAGGCAGCTCCCAGAAGCTCACACTTCATCTCCTGCCCACTATCCCCTGCCTTGTTCAGAGGCTCAGAGGTTGGGGCCGGAAGTGATCATGAAGATGGAAAATGTGGTCTGGCTTCAGGTTGGTGCATCACTGCCGTGTCTGTTTGCAGTTGATGCACACTTTGCTCCCCACACCCCCACATCCTCCTGCCGGGAGGGCTGGAAAAAGCTGAGTTTGCAGCCAGTGGAGGAGGAGCCAAGAAGAGTTTCCCTTCCCCCAAGACTCATGCTGGGGAAGAGAAGGGTGGGTGGGTGAAGTCAATCTTGCTTACATCAGCCATGGTGCCCCCTCAGTGATCAAGCACAATTACCTCCTCTGAGACCTGAGGTTTAGGATTACAGTTCCATTTCATGGATGAGAAACCTGAGATGCAAGGATAGGAAGTCACTTGCCTGTGTTACCATCAGGTGGAGCTGGAACTAGAACTGAGAACTTCTACAAGGACGAAGTCCTGTCTCTTACATTGCAGATAGGAAACTAAGGCCCAGAGTGGGCAAAGCCCAAGTAGCCCTCTAGACTTTGGCTTCCTCTCCCCTGGCCCTCTGCTCCTCTCTCCCACAGCGATGTTTGCTTTGTGGTCGGTCAAGAACGGCAGCAAGTATTTGCCCACCGATGCTTGTTGGCCTGTAGATGCAACTTCTTCCAACGACTTCTGGGTGCAGAGCCGGGCTCTGGGGTACCCAGTCCCGTGGTACTAAGCACAGTGCCAGCTGAAGCCTTCCTGGCAGTTCTGGAGTTCCTGTACACCAACAGTGTGAAGCTGCACCGCCACTCTGTGAGCCCACTGAGCAGGGGCCTGGGTGGGAGAGGTGGGGGCGCAAGAGGCAGGAGTTTGCCCGTCAGGCTGTGGGCTCAGGAGCAGGGGAAACTCCCTTCTGCTTCCCCAACCGCCCTCTCTGCAGGTGCTGGAAGTGCTGACAGCAGCTGTGGAGTATGGGCTAGAGGAACTGCGAGAGGTGGGTTTTGTGCCAGGTCCCTGTCTCATTTCCCCTGCCTCTCCTTGGCTCTGTTCTCACCCTGCTTCACACGCTTTCTGGTCTGGAGAGGAACGTGCGCCCACACAGAGAGAAGCATGGGTGTCTCTCCATTAAAGTAGAACATGTATGTGTGCCTGTGTACAAAAGGATCCGTGGGTGTCCTGTGTGTGCTGTGGGGGAAGAGGAGATGTTTATGGCTGGTGATGTAGCTGTGATAAGTTAGCCTTGATCCCTGTTCTCCAGAGAGAAAGGATACAGACACATGAAAACACTTAACCGAGTGGCATAGGAAGTGTGACAGATGAGGGTGGATGATACGAAGAGTGTCTGAAGAATCTCTCCAGTCCTGGCACCAGGCAAAGAAGACTTCCTGCAGGAGGAAACATTTGTGTTGGATCTGGTAGAACAAATAGGATTTTGTTCAGAGTGGGAGTGGGAAGATGACATTCTGGTCACAGGGGCACCAGAGGAGCTAGTGAGACATTTGGTGTGGCTGAACAGGATGTGTCAGGAGAAGAGAGGGCAGGGTGAGACTGGAACGATGCAGGGGCTGGTCATGCAGGGCCTTTAAGAAGTTGGACTTCCATAGCCAGGCCTGGTGGCGTGCGCCTGTAGTTCCAGCTACCTGGAAGGCTGAGGCGGAAGGATCGCTTGATCCCAGCAGGTCGAGGCTGAGATGGTGGTGAGCGTGCCACTGCACTCCAGCCTGGGCGACAGAGTGAGACTCCAACTCAAAAAAAGAGATGTCATGGCCAGGATAAGGGTGGCAGTGGAAGCCCAAGAGAGAGGTGGATGGCTCTGAGAGGAGATGGAACTAGCATGGCATGACCCAGTGCTTTTCTGGATGTGAGGGTGAGAGAGGGGTCACGCATGGATGAGATTCAGGGTTCTGGTGACTTAAGCATCCTTAAGTCAGGAAGGGAACAAATGAAGACAAACATCCTGAGAGAAGAGGAGAGTGGGATTTTTGCATGGCTCTTATCTGGTCTGATTAATGGTGAATGTGCTAGAGGGCGGGTTGCTGGGCTTGGCTTTGTTAGTCTTCAGTCCTTCTGATTTTGCTGTCTTAAGCTCTGGCAACTCCCTGATTCCCCTTGCCTGGGAGGTCAGGATGGGCCTGGGGTTGCTGGGAGCATGCGTGATCACTCTTCTGAGCCTGCTGTTTCTGGGTGGGGTTAGGGTCTTGGAGCAGGGGTTCCTCCATACAACCCACAATCATTTCTATTCCCAGCTGTGCCTAGAGTTTGTGGTGAAGGTGCTGGATGTGGAGTTGGTTTGTGAGGCCCTGCAGGTGGGTGCCGTTGGACAGGTCTGGAAGGAGTCCCACTTTCAGTATGTAGAACTGGACTCCCAGGTGCTAGGAGCCCGGACCTCCTGTTTGGCCTGGAACAACGTGGGTACATGGAGGTGGGGGCAGGGGTGTTTCAAGGATGTTTATAGGATGAATTGTGTACCTAGATCTGTGGGATTGTGGGTACATCAGGTCAGGTGCAGGAGCAGGATAGCTGAAGAGGCTGGAGGTCTTTGCTGGTCTTCTATCAGGGCTGGAGAATGGTTCTCAGCAGGACTTGGGGAAGGGAGAAGGGTGGGGTGGAGAGTTGAGAAGCCAAGCTTAGGCTCCGTGGCGAAGACATGGCATGGTCTCCTCTAGCAAAGAGCAGCTTGTTAAGTCCACCTCGGTGTACATGTGTGAATTGGGGCCTTCATTGGGTCTAACTTCCTGGGAGACCATAGGTCCTGGGAGTCTCCCCGACTAGGGCTAGAGTCAGGCCTGCAGTAGTGGTTCCTAGGGTGGAGGGCTGGGCTATGCAGCCTCCACAGTCTCCAACCTGATCTCCCTCATTCCGCTTGCAGGTGGCCGTAACCTTTGGCCTGCGGCCGCTGCAAGAACATTGCATACACTTCATAGAGGCCCATAGCCAGGTATAGCTCCCCATCTTCATATTCCTAACCCCACACACCTCATTCGGCTCCTCCCTGACCCATATGCCGGCTCGCAGGAGGCGCTCCGGACCCGAGGCTTCCTGGAGCTGTCGGCGGCCGCACTGCTGCCCCTGCTGCGCAGCGACAAGCTCTGCGTAGACGAGGCTGAGCTGGTCGGAGCGGCCCGAAGCTGGGCGCGCGTGGGCGCGGTGAGTGAAGCCTGGGAGAGCGCGGGGGCACCGAAGGAGGTGCTGGCCTCAGGAATCCGGCAAGCGCGCATCGGGGCAAGTGCCTCCGCTCCGCCCGGGCTCAGAGCTGGCGTTCGCAGGCGGTGCTGGAGCGGCCTGTGGCAGACGTGGCGGCCCCGGTGGTGGGAGAGCTGCGACTAGCCTTGTTGGCCCCGGAGGAGCTGAGCGCCCTAGAAGAGCAGAACCGGCGGGAGCCGCTCATCCCGGTGCGGACGCGGGGAACCAGGCTCAGATCCACCCGGCGGCGTGGGGACAAGGCGCTCGGGGGGACAGGAGGGGTGGTGGCCCGGCCCAGAGTCCTCGCGGTGTGGGGGCTCCGCGGGACTCCGCAGTGACCGGCCTTGTCCTGCAGGTGGAGCAGATCGTGGAGGCGTGGAAGTGCCATGCCCTGCGAAGAGGGGATGAGGTTCGGGGCGCCCCATGTCGCCGCCGGAGAGGCACCCTGCCCCGGGAGCATCACCGCTTCCTTGACCTGCCCTTCAGGTGACCCAATGCCAGGACTTGCGAGGAATCCAGAGCCTGCCCAATTATGCCTTGCTTAAAACTACAGCTCCCGACGTGCTCGGCGCTCGGAGCGGGCTTCCGCTCCCAACATGCCCAGCGAGCGCGGCGCCGGAAGGACCGTTCTCGGCTAGGCACCGCCCCTTGGGCTGGGGAGCGGGGGTATAGGGCGGGGCAGAACGGGGCGGGGCGGGAACGGAGGGTTTGGGCTGGGCCTCCCAGACCCGCCGAAACCGGAGATTTCCTTCTCTACGCCCTGTTCCTGGGCATTCAGGTACACCAGTCTATTCTGATGACTCCCTCGTGTCTAGTTAGCTCAGCTACTTCTTTACTTCCAGACCTGCCTCCTGGGCCTCTTTCTCTGAATTCCCCACAGACATCTTAGGCTCAATCCAGCGCTCCATCTTTTCCCAGCCCCTGTCCATATCCTGTTTCTCCTTCTTGTGGGTGCCCACGCGAGAAACGTGGATCTCAGGCTCATGTTATCCCGCTTCCTCACATCTGCCTCAGGCCACTAATAACTTCTTTTTGAGCTGGAGCTTCACATTCGGTCTCCCAGGCTGGAGTGCATGGCACGCTTATGGCCACCGCAGTCCGGCCCTGCTGGGCTCAGGCGATCCTTCTGCCTCAACCTTCCAAGTAGCTAGAACTACGGGCGTGGGCACCATGCCCGGCGGATTTTATGATTTACTGTAGAGACAGGTCTCGCCATGTTGCTCAGGTTGGTCTCGAACCCCTGAGCTCGGGAAATCCTCTCACCTCTGCCTCCCAAAGTGCTGGGATTACAGGCGTGAGCCACCGTGCCCGGCCCACTTCTACCTTCTAAGAGAAGTTTCTGGTTGGTTCAGTTCTCTCAGTCTGGAGATTCAGCATGTCCTGTGACGTCTTCTTCCTTCACTCCAGCGCCCCCTCAATCCATTTCCCACACCGCAGCCAGATCTGTCTAGGATTGTCAGTCCCAGGTTCCTTAAATCCTGCAACATCCTATTGTCCTCTAGGACAAAATACAATCTATTTTAGGCTGGATGAGGTGACTATAATCCCAGCACTTTGGGAGGCCGAGGTGAGAGGATTGCCTGAGCCCATAGGTTGAAGACCAGCCCGCGCAACTTGGCGAGACCGCATCTCTACAATAAATCAAAAAATTAGCCGGGCATGGTGGCGTGCCTGTAGTTCCGGCAGAAGGAACACCTGAGCCCAGCAGGTCGAGGCTGCGGTGGCCGGAAGCGTGCCACTGCACTCCAGCCTGGGCGACAGAGTGAGACTCCAACTCAAGAAAAAAAAAATCTGTTTCACGTTCAAGGCACTCAAAAACGACTAGTGGCTCATAAATGCTAGCAACTCTACCTTTGCATACATTCACTCATTCTGGAGGTTCTAGTCCGTAGTCTCACTCTGTCACGCTCTCAGCCGTCGTATCCTCAACCCGCTGGGCTCCAGCGATCCTTCCGCCTCAGCCTTCCAAGTAGCTGGAACTATAGGTGCGCACTATCACGCCCAGCTATGCTACCTCTTCCAGTCATCACACATCTTGTCTTCCGCAGGACTTGAATCTCCCTACAGGAAGACCCCTGAGGCCTGGAGTGGTGCCTTATTCATTTCTTTCTTTCTTTTTTTTTTTGAGTTGGAGTCTCACTCTGTCGCCCAGACTGGAGTGCAGTGGCCGCTCCCGGCCACCGCAGCCTTGACCTGCTGGGCTCCGGCGATCCTTCTGCCTCAGCCTTCCGAGTAGCTGGAACTATAGGCGCCGGCTACCACGCCCAGCTAATCAGGGACTTTATACAAAAATAAATTGCACATTAATTGAAGATAATTATTTGGCATTATCTCTGAAGACTAAATATGTGGCTACTCAGTAGAACCACTTCATGGCAGCATTGTTTGGATAGTGAAAATGAAAAATAATCTATATGTCCGTTAATAGAGGGTTGGTTATATTATATATTTTATGAATATACAAAGAAATTCTTAAAAAAGATATCCACGATCTTTGGTGAAAACACAGTGTAGACCAAGTACAGCATGATTCCTTTTGTTGTTAAAGGTAGTACAGTGATTAAGAATGTGCCTTCTGGGTCGGGTTCGGTGGCTTAGCCTGTAATCCCAGCACTCTGGGAGGCCAAGGCAAGTGGATTGCCTGAGCCTGCAGGTTCAAGACCAGCCTGGGCAACTTGGTGAGATCTCATCTCTACAATAAATAAAAAATTAGCCAGGTATGGTAGCGTGCGCCTGTAGTTCCAACTACTTGGAAGGCTGAGGCGGAAGGATCGCTGGAGCCCAGCAGGTCGAGGCTGAGCGACAGAGTGAGACTCAGACTCAAAAAACAAAAACAAGAGTGTGCCTTCTGGGCCCAACTCGATGGCTCAGCCTGTAATCCCAATGCTTTGGGAGGCCGTGGTGAATAGATTACCTCAATCTGCCAGTTCGAGAGTAGCCCGGGCAACTTGGCAAGACCTCATCTTTACAATAAATAAAAAACTAGCCAGGTTTCGTAGTGTGCACCTGTAGTTCTGGCTACTTGGAAGGCTGAGGCAGAAGGATCTCCAAAGCCCAGCAGGTCGACGCTGGGGTGTCCGTGAGCGTGTCACTGCACAACCTGGGCGATGGAGTGAGACTCCAACTCAAACAAACAAAAAAAGTGTGCCTTCTGGAGCCGGAATACTTGCATTTGAATCTCAGCTCCAGTGCATACAGACTTTGTGACTTGAGTGAGGACACAACCTTTTCTGTGCCTCAGTTTCCTTATTTATAAAATGGAGATAATATTAGAACCTAATTAGTAGAGTTGCTAGGAAGATGAAATTAGTTAATATTGTAAAATACTTAGAACTATAGTGGGACAGATTAAATACTGTATATGTATTTAGAAAATAAATATATTCATTCATTTGTTCCACAAATATTCATTGAGTGCTTATGTGCTACACACTGATTTAGGGTCATGGAATAAATATATGAGAGGACAAGTCAAGAAAAGTGTTAGCCTCATGGAACTTACGTTCTAGGAGGAGAAGCATATGATAAACAAGTAAAGAAATAAATGTATGACATGATTTCAGGGAGTGGTTTGTGCTATAAAGAAAAGTAAAACAAAGCCAGGCTTGGTGGCTCAGCCTGTAATCCCGCGCCTTTGGGAGACTGAGGTGAGTGGATTGGCGAGCCCGCGGGTTTGAGACCCGCCTGGGCAGTGAGACCTCATCTCTACAATAAATCAAAAATTCAGCCGGGCGTGGTAGCGCATGCCTGTAATTCTGGCTACTCGGAAGGCTGAGGCTGAAGGATGGCCGGAGTCCAGCCGGTCGAGGCTGCGGTGGTCGGGAGCGGCCACTGCACTCCAGTCTGGGCGACAGAGTGAGACTCCCACTCAAAAAAATAAATAAATAAATAAATAATGTAGTTGAATGAAGTGTCTGCTCTGAAGATGGGAGTCAACAGGACCTGCTGATAGCTGTAAATTGGGGATGAGAGGGTCACCAACTATCAGATGGACCATGGCTGGGCACCGTGGCTCACGCCTGTAATCACAGCAGTTTGTGAGGCCGAGGTGGAAGCCTGAACCCAGGAGGACAAGGCTGTGGTGAGTTGTGATCGTGCCATTCCCCTCCAGTCTGGCAGCCTGAGGAACAGACTCAAACAGAACAAAACAAAAACGTAAAGCCCTAGAACTATATGAACTCTCCTAGGGAGAGGATGCAGATAGGCAGGAGGATATAGGATTAAGATTGAGGGACACCCAACATTTCGTATACCACTCTATCAAAACACTATTTGTATGCATGGCACTCCTCACTCGGACCATATCTTACTTGTCTGAGATTATACTATGTATTCGACTTTTGCACTGGTCGCTTCCATTAAAAAGGCTCTACGGGGAGGGGGGGAAACCCTTGTGAGGTCTCCACCGGGAAAACTGGCATACCGTGGGCGCTCAGTATGTAAAGAGTCGAGTGGAAGAAAAACGAAAGACTGGAAACAAGTGAACAGCTAAACTAAGCCCGCTACGAGAGATTCGACCTAGCCTCAGGTGGTCACTCCGCTTTCTCTTTCCAGTAGCTGGAACCACGGCCGCACCACCACCCCAACCAGATCGCTTTCTTCAACGGTAGAAATCTAGCTTCTCCCAAGTCACTCGCGCCCATTTCTGACCTCTAGTTTCCAGCAACTTTTCCTAGGACCTCAAGAAAACAACAGAAACAAAACCGTGAGAGTTAAACCAAGGCCGCTTTTACCACACCGGCTCTTCAGAGAGAGTGACGTTAAAGGAGCCGGGCGTGGTAGCGCGCGCCGGTAGTTCCGGCTACTGTGAAGGCTAAAAAGGAAGAAACGCCGGAGGCGAGCAAGTTGATGTTACTGTGTTTGGGAATGACTGCTGCTGTCTAGTTCCGATGATCGGAAAACTCCAACTGTAAACAGAAAAAATACAAAGAAAAAAGACGCGAACCGAGTTTTCAGACTACAACAGGATGAAAAACCACGAAACAGCCTGCTTTTTTGACTTCCAGAAAAGTAGCCTCGTAAGCACGAGACTTCAAAAATTGGGTTAAAACTCAGAGTTGTTCCTCTCCACGGAAATCTTTAGTAAAAGGCGAAAGATTTATACGATCTGAAGAGAAACTAGAGTATACCGGTAAACCTCCGCTTGGAACCACCTAGAGAGACACAACACTTTATACAGTTACGGTTGTTCAACCGTTGAGCGGAACACGCTACCTGCATGTAGCTTATGTATACATATATTTCCAACAGGCATTATACCCTAAAATTGTGGAAAAAACCCGAAATGGAGCGCAAGTAGCCTGAAGCTGTCTTTTCGCGGTGCACTATGGGTATGCAAATCACAGGCGGCTCCGGGCTAGTCCGAGACATCAGCTGCGGGGGCGGGACCGCGGGGACCTGTGCTCTCCCTTGCGTTTCTCTACGGGTCTTTCTGGGTCCCGCTTCCCCTTTGCCCAGAGAGGAGTGGTCGGTGCCAGGTGCCGAGTCCCTTGCCGGGGCTGGTATTGGCGTCAGTCCCAATTTTTTTTTTGAGTTGGATTCTCCCTCTGTCGCCCAGGCTGGAGTGAAGGGGCACATTCACGGCCACCCCAGCGTCGACCTGCTGGGCTCAGACGATCCTTCCCCTCAGCCTTCCGAGTAGCAGGAACTACAGGCGC